GGAATACTCCCAATGCAGAAATAGGATTCCTTTTATGTTACTGAATATATGGAGCTAATCGCATTGCATGCCATGAGGCCATTTTAGGTTGGGATCCTTCTTTGTTTTCTGCTGTCTGACAACTTAGAGTACTTTAATTCCAGTAGGGAGAGGGACCTTCTGTTGTAAAAGATTGTGCTTTTGTCCAAACACAGAAACTAAACACTTTGTTCGCACACAAATACCCTTTCACTGTTTGTACATGCCATGACTGCGTCATATGTTACTTATATCAGCGTGCTGTTCTTACTGCAGTGGTTTCCCCCCTCACAGCCCCATTTCAGAGCTGCAGAAATCTGTTTACAGTTATGTAACAATAGCCTGTTATATCGCCATTCAAATAGGCTCTTCCAGAGTTACAGGCAGCCCCCCACTCTCCCTGGGATGTTTTTGATGAATCCAGAGCATGACCTTTGCCCTAAGACAGTGTGTTCTCCCGAAGAGAAGAAAAGAACGCTTTGTTTTTGTTTTTTCGGAGTCTGAGTTCCGCAGAAGTGTGGGCTCTGCCTTTTACTCCGCCTCCTGGTACAACCTGGGCTGGTGATTGGCTGATCCCAGTGTTGTTTACTTTCAGACCACTCCTCCTCAGGGGGGTTTGCTGCTGGTCTGCCTGCATTGAGTTTTATGGTAACACTCATCTCTTAGACTAGTGCTGTCCTTCTAGACTTGAAAATTCACTCTTTAGATACCTCTAGAGCTACCTGAGCAGAATTGATTAATAATTGCAGTGATCTCTTTGTGTGGGTTTCTTCAGTTTGTAACAGACTGAAAAGCTGCACCAATAAAGGTGCTTTTGTTTTGAGAAGCTAATATATATATAAGAATTCCCACTCCTGGATCGTCTTACCCAGAGGGACAGTGTGCAGATTCTGCAGGGATTTTAGGGTAGGTTGCAGTTAAGGAGGGTGGTTCAGTTGTGGGGTCCCAGTGTGAGCCGGGTCTCAGCCTCCTCCTTGTCCTGCTGCAGACAGCCGCAGCCCTCGTCCGGCCAGCCCCCCGCGGTGTCGCCCCGTGCCGAGACCACCCCCATCCCGGTTCCCACCCAGGTTCGCAACTACCAGCGCATCAACCAGAACCTGTCCAGCAGCCCCACGACCACGCTCTACGGCTCCCCCAGGTAAGCAGTAGGGGAGGAAGCTGAGGGCTGGGTGGTGGATGGTGATGGTGGGGGGGAGTATTTAGCATGTTAGTCTATTAAAGAGCAGATCTACCACGCTATCTTCTGAAGTGCAATTAAGATTCACAGATTTCCTTAACTTGTTTTTTGGAAAAAGCACAGTCATTCCGGATGTCTTTAGGAGTGTAGATTCCCGAACAGCTACTGAACCCTGGGATTCTGCTGGAGATGTGTGCACTCTGGAAAGGCAGCCCATTCCTGTGCAACCTGTAGCATGTTTTTTTTGCAGTGACTGTCAGTTGCTTTGTTTCTATGCTGTATTGTTTTTCCTTTCTCAGCTCTAGCTGGTGTTCTCATTGGTGCCAGTAATGATACAGGTGTATGTGGGCAATACGTTCAGGAGGAACCTGCAAAGCAAGTGCTGATTCTTCATTGCTTGTTTGATACCTGTAGTAAGTTTTCATGAAGCTCAAGGAAGTTGCTGCATTAAGCATGCATTGGCTGCAAGGGAACAGGTAAAAATTCATTCCAGGCAGTGCTGGATTTCTCATTAGGCACTGCTGGCACAGTGCATAGGGCCTACGAAGGAGGGCAGCACTAGTGACTAACTTAAAAAACAAGCTGAAACAACATGCTTGCGCTCGACTCGAGGTGCTCCAAATCAATAATCATACGCGATCTAGCAGCTGTTCTAGAGACTAGAGTTCTCAAAGTGATTGTCGCTCGACTTGCTCCATCACTCATGTGGTTCAGCGTTAGAATAGTTTAAAGTGGATCATGTCGATCGACGACATTCAATTGGCTTTCACCCCTCTTCTTGCACATTTCGGAGTGAAATTGCCTAGGGCCTATGGACACCAAAATCCAGCCCTGGTTCCAGGTAAAGAGATGCAATGTTTTGTCTGTGTCACACCTGAAGCAGGGTCCACGGTCAAAACATAAGGGCTCATTACAGGGCCACAGAGTTAAATATGGTCTTCTGCTTGCATACCTCAGTCTTGAACTCAGCCCCTCCTGGGATTCAGAGCTGGTCCTGTGCCAGTTGCACAGCTGACCCAGTTTACTCACGTGCTGTTATGTTAGGTGGCATCAGTTTCCATTGCAGATTAAGCTGATTGCGTTTGTGGATACAGGGAGGGCGCGGTTTAAACTCTGAAGGTCGGATCTGCTGCATCTCACGGTTGCGGTGTAAGAGTTCAGATGTTGTAACGTCTTCTAAAGATGCATTTTCTCTTTTCTTTTATAATCATTGTTTTCCCTGGGCAGCAGCCTATCTAAATCCATTTATTGTGATCTCCCCACATGGAAAGCAAACACGACAATATTTGATCGACCAGTGTTTTTTCAATTTATATCGGACAAGAACCAGTGCACCACTCTTACCAAGATGTTTTATCTTCATTTAATTAGGTTGGGCAAGTCCTTTGTAAATGGCATTCTTCCACCAATACAATAGTCAAATAAGAGTAGGAAATTTTACAGAAATACCCGGAGAAGTATGCAAATTAAATGAGTCATCGGGAGGGCTGGATGTTTTCCTTTTGCTTTAGCACACACTGGAGGGGGTGGAGTTAGGGAAGAGGCTTCTCAGAGCTGTATAGATTCTGATGCAAGAGTTGTGTATCCTTGGAGTAAGAAAAGACAGGTTACAAATGAGAGTAGGGCATTTGGCCCATCTTTCTCATTTGTAGTTAACAGCTAATTAATACAAGGATCTCACCCACCTCTTTCTTGGGTAAAAAAAAAACCCAAAACAAATACCAGCTTTCACAACATGGCTGAATAGCTTGTTCCATACTCCCACAACCCTTTGGGTAAAGACGTGCCTCCTGTTCTTGGTTTTAAATGCACTTCCTATGTAGTTTCCTCTTGTGTCCTCTGGTTTGTGCTTCACTGTTCATTCTGTGGAAATCCTGAGCTGACTTTTTGCCTGGGCTTTTTAAGAATGTTGGAAATGTTTGTCAGATCCCCTCTCAGTCTTCTGTGTTCACGACTAAAGTGGGTTCTCAGTAAGCGGAGAGAGCTGTGGTGCTGAGGCGGGTGCAACACAGGATCGTTCATACTTTGGCGCTGGGGGGGGCTGTGTGTCCCCTATGCCTGTACTGAGTCAGCACAAGAAATGCAAGGCTGCTCGTTGAGTGTGGAATTTATTAACTAAGAAAGGGGGCTACATGTCCAGACTTGTACTGAGAGCTGGAGAGCCCTCCTCTGACGCTGGTTTTACTGACACACAGTAGACTACACGGGCTCTTGCTTGCCAGTGAGACTGTGCAGCTGGGTGTTTGTAGACATGGCCTTAACGTGGTTGTGGTGTATTTCCCCTCCAGGTCGGGCACGGTGCGCAGGTCCAACACCAGCCCCATGGGCTTCACCAAGGTGGGCTCAGGCTCACCGGCGGCTGCAGATGTGCCTCAGACGGTGGGCAGGCGTCTGTCCACTGGCTCCTCGCGGCCATACTCTCCCTCCCCGCTGGGTAAGGCTCTACACGTGTGGTGGGGGTGAACCACCCCCATGTGTTTGACACACGTCTTCAGAATCTTCCCTTGGTTTCCTTCCACCTCCTTCTCTTCTGCCTCCATTGTGTGTAAGAACGTGAAATCATGCCATTTTAAAGTTGCATGCCTTCCCTTATCTGTGGGGGGGGGGGATAAGTGATAATGTTAGCCATCACACCTCTCTGTTGTACTTTGCCCACATTGGAGGTTGGCCTAGTCTGTGGGGTCAGGTGGGGGGGGTTCTCCCCGCGGTGTGCCCGTCAGCGTGCCGCAGCTGAGTGCTTTGGTTTGTGTCTCTGCAGTGGGCACCATCCCCGAGCAGCTGGGACACTGCTGCTGCGGGCACCCCCAGGGCCACGAGCCGCGCAGCCGGAGCTCGTCGGGAGGTGAGGTCGCTCTCCTCCCCGCCGCTAACCAGCCTGCCCGTCGGACTGCGTTTTTACAGCACGTGATCTCCGATCGCAGCCCCGTGAGCCCCATGCGAGACTTCTGGGTGGGAAGCTGTGGTGCCTTGGCTGAGTGCCCAGCGTGGGGCCTCTCTCTTAACCCAGTGAAGGGCAGGTTGATCCGACGGATTGAAGCCCTGATCCCAGGGGATGAGCTGCCCGTTTGCTCTGAAAGATTGAGGTCAAGCTGCAGCCATGACACTCTGTGCCTTTTTTTTTTTTAACAATGGCCACGTTCTCCGCCTGCTTTGTCCCCCCTCCAGCTGGGCTCATTGTTAAAAACACTCTGCCTCATCCTTTCACTGCACTGAGTGCTTTTTGTCAATCAGAGGAGCTGTACCCATAGCAACCACAACCCTGGAGGGTCTTGGTCTGGTTTCTTCAGCTGAGTGGCTTCAAAACAGCGTTGCTAACACATTTGTGGCCCTCGGGAGAAACAAAAACCGCATGCTTTTTTAACTGTGGAAATTTTAATAGCTGCCAAATCACTTCGAAACCGCCACTGTCAGTAAAATCTGGGCCGTAAAAGATTGAATTCATTGATAGGACTTGTATGCAAGTAGGTTAAAAAAAATGGGTTATTGGAAGAGTGTAATGATTTCAGTGTTTTCCTTCACACTTAGAACACATAACAGTATGATGAGTAGTCTGCAGTGCCACCTAGTGTCCATTAGTCATGAACACTTTCACAAGTGGAGCTGAATGAACAAATTCTCTACACGCTGGAATGTAGCACCTCAAGGGCCTTTTACACAAAGAATTTGCCACTGTACTGCATTGATGCTCATTTTTCTGCTGAAGAAACAAACAGTTGAAGTTCTAAATTGCCATGCAAATCATTGTGTGCTAAATTATAACTTCTTGCACGAGGCATTTTAGTGATTTTTTTTTTGCTAGTTTAATTGCAAAAACAGAAAAAAGCAACAATGGGTGGCAAAGCATGCCCGTGTGCTCAAATGGGCATAAACACCAGCAATCGCACAACAGCGTTGACTTGTGTTTGTAAAAGGTGTTTATGAACAACAGGTTAGTAAAGGCACTTGTCCAGTTTGACACCTGCAAATTCAACGATCTTTATTGGCATGACTGATGACTTACAGTGCTGCCAAAGCAGATACAATTAACACAGCATTTACAGTACAAACATGTTTGGACATATGTCAGACAAAACAAAATGTTATTGTGAGACAGGCTCACTGTCTCTTCTTCAGGCTGACGCACAGTTTAGTCTTTTTTTTCCCAATAAGACAGTAAATGCTCTCAGTGCCTCTGCGTCATGAGCTCTTGGGACATGGCTGCAAACATCTGACCGTTTTGTACTTCTCTGGCCAGGTTCCCCTGTGCCCCCCTCTCAGCTGCTGGGTGCCCGGCTGCAGAGTGCACCCACCCTGACCGACGTCTACCAGAACAAACAGAAGCTCCGCAAGCAGCTCTCAGACCCTGTGTACCCATCAGCTGCAGCCTATCCCAGCAGCCACTCTCCCCAGCTGAGCCGCCCTGGTAGTTTCGGCACCTCCCCCACCAAGCACCTTGGCTCCTCCCCCCGCTCTTCTGATTGGTTACAGAAGACCCCGTTGCCCACCATCATTGGTTCACCTACCAAGGTACACCAAGCAAGATCCCCGCCCCCGTATTTGTGCATCCATACACCACTCTGATTTTCTGTAATCTCAGGAAAAATAACTCTTTAAAGTTTTTCTTTTGAAGAACAGCTTCAGATTCTGAGATTTTGTACCTATGCAAATACCTTGCTCAAGCTTAACAGTAGCATCCCTACCAGAGTTTGAACCTGCGACTCTGGTTCAAAGTGCAGTAACCACTACCTCATGCTGTTTCTGGACGTTGGTTAAGTTGCTGTTTTGTTAATTTGACGCCCATTGCAAACCCGAGAGGTCTAATGTTGATAAACTTGTCATTCGATTGAGTCAAGAGCTAGTGAGGATTTTATTTTCTTTCCAAAAGCATTAAGTAGAGTTTGGGTATACCGTAGTCCCTGTGTTACCAGTCTTGCTGTTAGTCATTTAAATTCACATGCAATGATTTTGTGCCACCAGATAGAAGGTACTGCACACCAGTTGAACTCACTACCATTTTATAATCATCTTCCTGCATTTATTACACTGTCAATGTTTTTATGGCCTTGCTGCAGTTATTGTGGAAATGGTCATCTTCATTGCTAGACTGACTGTCATCCCATCTGCTGTGCAGACGAATGCCCCTTTCAAGATCCCCAAAACCCAGGCCTCATGCAACCTGCTGGCCCTGGCTGCTCAGCAGGGCGTGGCGGACAGCTCGGCCCCCAGCAAGGCCCACGCTGACCTCCGCGACCTCTGCCCCTACCAGTGCTCTCCGTACCTGGGGGCCCGTCAGGCTGCCCCTGAGCACAGCAGGGCCGCCTTCGGCAGGTAAGAGACCGCACACAGGACCCCACCTGGGAGCTTCCTCTTCCAGCTGTCCAGCCCCGAGCTGTGCTGCCCATCTGATCGTGTTTAGCGTTTCATCAGACTGGCCAAAGCGCCTCTGCATTTGGCCGCTGCCCGTGACCGGTGCAGACAAGATCAAGCACCAGATCTCTTATCAACTGGGAGCTTTTCTTTTCTGTTAATTTTGGTAATATTTTTTTCCCCTCCATTTTGGTAAAAGGAGTGGAGGTCTATAGGACCATCACGTGCGCTACAGTGCTTTTGTTGTACAGGGATGTTAAACTGGTAAGACCAATTCAGAAGCAGAAGAGGTTTGCTGCTCAGGGAATCGAGCTTTAGAAAGTTCACATGGTTACAGACAGAGGTTGCATGAGCCAAAGTTGGAGATGAGGTGTGAAAGCATGTTTTATAACTTTCAGTTCACTATGGTCTGACAGTAAAGACTGATAGTCTATTCCAGCCAATTCCGATTTTGTTTTTGTCAGACTGTGGGTTTTGATCCATTTCACTGACAGGTCCCTGCCCTTAACACCATTCCCCACACAGTACTGACACTCTCCCTCGCCTTCACCACAGCCTCCCTGGTTCATTCTCTCTGGAATGCTCCTGCCGTCTGCACCTCCTCCTTATTCCCATATTCCTCACTGCTTCTTTCGTTCCCTGTGATTCCTACATCAGAGATCGGACTCTCTGACGGGTGCGTGTGTCACCTTGCAGGTCTGTCAGCACAGGGAGGCTGTCGGAGCCTCCGGTCCGGATCACGCTGGGGGGACAGCCCTGCCAGGGCAGCACTGACAGCCTCAATGCCGAGAGACCCATGGACACAGGTAGGCCAGTGTCCCGCCTGTCCCTGCCACCGCCTAGCAAGACAGCCGGGTCCCATCACCTTTCTTTTAGTGGCACCGAATTAATGAAGTCGAATCTGCCTTTTAAGTTTCCTACTGTTTTGTAGTTTTGCTCTTTTTGTAGGGGTCACTTTATAGTAATGGTAATTCAGCAGGCATTTATCAGTATAAGTGTGGAGTGTGCTTACTGTGGGAATTCAACAGGTGATGGTGAAATTGTGGTCTTAATGCCAGGAATGGGGGGAAAAAAAGCTCCTAGTGAAAATAGCTTCTGTAATGATATGCTAAACAATTAGAAATGACAAATGCATAAAAACATTGATATGTGGGACTACATTGATATTGGTATTATTGCTGAAAGAAAGCCAGATGCATTTTTTTCTTAACCGACTTCAGCCCCTGGAGAGGAGTTTGCAGTGTGCGTCTCTTTCACTCTCTCTCTGACATTGCTGGCTGGGTGTGAGTTTTCAGGTGATCATGTGCGAGTAACCCCTCTCTGTCTGCAGCTCCAGCTGGAGCCTGTGCAGGGCTCCCCACGACTGGCTCGAGCCCCCGCACGGTGCTCTTCACTGTGGGGTCACCCCCCAACAGCGCCACCCCCCCCACCTGCAGCCAGCAGGGCACCCGACTTCGCACCACCTCAGGTGAGGAGCCCAGCTGTGAAACCTGTAGGCCCTCAGTTCGGCCGAGACCTCTTGATTAATCCAAACAGCATGATTTAAAATATAATAGTGATAGTGTGATCACATGCATATTGTAAGCAGCAGTTCAGCTCTGTATAGACATTCACCTCAGATTGTCAGTGTTTATCTGATCACTGTAGACTGTAGTAACTCAGGTATTGCTCTACTAGAGTGTTAGGTTTTTAGAGATAGATTTCCTTAAAGAAGTCTCTTATCCCTGAAGTTAGGTTTCCATTAAGATAACTTGGTATTAATGTAATAATAACTTACACTTATGTAGCTCTTTTCTGGACACTCCAATCAAAGTGCTTTACAGGTAATGGGGAATCCCACTTCCACCACCAATGAGTAGCCCACACCTGGATAATGTGCTGGCAGCCATAGTGTGCCAGTCCTCTCCCCACACACCAGCTCTCAGTGGGGAGGAGAACAGAGTGATGAAGCCAGTTCAGAGATTGGGAGTATTTGGAGGCCATAATTGAATGGAAGGAGATTAGACATCAAGCTCCCCCTTTACCAGTTTTCCATATTACAGTGTTACTGGTCCTTGATTTGTTATCTGTGGATGAGCATGGTCCTGTTCTTCACTTTCTTTCTCCTTTCCCTGCTCCACACCACCCTTCCGTCTCCCCAGTGGGCTCCAACAGCTCCGCCGGCTCGCTCTGCTCCACCAGCGGCCGGATCTACATGGGCTCCCCCCCGGGCATGGTGGTGGGCACTTCGCCGCCCGCGGCCGAGGCGGCGCCCAGCAGCCTGCGCTACGTCCCCTACGGCACGTCCCCCCCGAGCCTGGAGGGCTTCATCACGTTCGAGGCCCCGGAGCTGCCCGAGGAGACGCTCATGGAGGTAAGAGGAACCCCCCCTGCCCTGGGCTCGCCTGGCTCCGACAGTCCCATCCCTCAGAAAACCTGGAAAGGGGCCGAAGGGAGCCAAGGGAGCTGAAATCACAAATCGCCATCGCCATTGACGTTGGTTTCTGCAGGGACTCCAACTGGATAGTTTCAGACTAGGAGTGACCTTATGGGGAGGTATCAGCCTCGGCTTCCAGACCTGCACCTAAACCTCTACTTCAGCAGTGCACAGAAATAAGTGTCCACCCCCTAAGAAGTGAAGAAAGCTCTGGTTAGGGGAGAAGGGAGTTCTCAACAGCTTGTGTGTGTGTGGGGTTGGGGGGGGAGCTGACCCACGTTGTGCGTAGACCCATGCCGAGACAACCTCTCCTAAGAATGTAAGGGAGCTTTCAAACTACAGGAAGCTATTGGGTCCATCCAGGCTGTTTAGTAGTTAGGTGATCGGAGGATCCCATCAGGTCTTGTCTTGAAGGGAGCCTGGGTTTCGGCTTCAATAACGTGGCTGGGTAGCAGGTTTCATACTCTCAGGTCTCCCCTGTAGAAATATCCTCTAAAGGAAAAACGGAACCAATTACACGTGTACAATACACATTAAAACCCTATCATTTGTGCTATGGAGACTGGCAATGACATCCGTCAAGTGTAGAAAACTTTGTTACAAACTGTTGCTCTGAATTACCAACCTTTTGTGTTTCATATACAGTAGCTAAGAGCCAAACTCCTGTCAAGCTTAAACGAGCCTTCTGGTGATGCATCATATTGAGTAGAACTGTATCTCCAAAAGCTGTCATTAGTTAAAACACTCGCAAAACAGTTTTGTACAGATTTTAACCTCTGCATTTTTGAAGTTACAAGTAACAGCTGGGTAGCTCTTATATCTTTGCATTTCTGTAAAAGAACAAAAAGAGTAGTCCTCCTGTAGTCCTCCTTGTAGAGGTGCAGTTTTGATTTTCATACTTGACAGATCATTAATTAGTCCCGATGGACATCCAGACTTATGATTAGAGAAGATCCAATGGGATCTCGTGCTGTCAACGATCACATTGGATCACAAAGATCACATTCCAGCTACGAGGAGGAATGGATAGAGCCCGGGGAGGCACTGTGGCTCAGCTGCAGGGTGGCGCTGACGGCTGCCTTTCTCTCGCCTGTAGCGGGAGCACACGGACACGCTGCTGCACCTGCGCATGATGCTGTCCTTCACGGACTGCGTGCTGGAGATTGCCGCGGCGCGGGGGGCCGGGGGGGCCGAGCTGGGGGTGTCGGCCGCCTCCCTCTACCCCCCCCAGGACAGTGTGGTCGTGGACCAGATCAGCCAGCTCAGCAAAGACTGGGGGTAGGTGCGCTGTCACTTCTCAGAGCCGCAGGGCGGGTCCGAGGGGATAAATCTTTTGCTCACTGTGTTCACCGAGTTCACTTTTTTTTTTAGTGTAAACCTCTTCCTTTTTATAGCGTTCTGTCTGAACTTCTAATAGCAATTGAAATGATTGAATGCTTGCCTGCATTCTGGAGGTTACTACTCTGTGAGCCCTGTTCAGCATGCCTCCTTGCTTGCATATAGAAGAACGGTCAGTAACGATGGGCTGAATGCTGTTTGTCGTAACATGTCTTTCGTGCCCCCCTGCGTGTGCCCGGTGAAGAGGAGTCAGCCTGCGCTTTGCCTCCCCCTACAGGCAGGTGGAGCAGTTGGTCCTGTACATGAAAGCTGCGCAGCTCCTGGCCTCTTCCCTGCACCTGGCCAAGAACCAGATCAAGTCCTCGAAGCTCAACCCCTCCACTGCTGTCAAACAGGGTAGGCATCGCAGCGGCCCGAGACGGCCCGCTGGTCTTAAAAAGAAGAAGTACTGCATTGCCGTTAGTCTTCTCGAACTGGCTTTTTTTTTTAAAATAAGTTGAAAATGTCCGCTCTCGATGAGGTAGAGGTACAAACTGGATTTCCTGTCCCGCGCGCAGTGGTGAAGAGCCTGAACGAGCGCTACAAGACCTGCATCTCGCTGTGCCGCCGCTTCACTGACCGGCTCAACCACTTCTTCTCCGACAAGCAGCGCTTCGTGGACGAGATCAGCAGCGTCACCGCGGAGAAGCTCATCTACAGCCACGCGGTGGAGATGGTAAGGGAAGGGAGCGATGGGCACGGGAACCGACGGCTGCGTTCCGAAGCCGACAGGATACACCCAGTGCTCCCTGTGTGCAGGGAACACATTCCTGAAGGGCTCACGGATAAGGGGAAACATGCTTTGTGGGAAAATGCTCTCCTATACCTTATATGTGGCATGGGTGGACCTAGTACACAGATCTACACATTTAGACCACATGACGATCGAATGCAGTTCTGCACAGTTTTCTGTTCTAACACAATATTGTGTAAATGAAAATAAAGCAGTTGCTGGGTTGTGATCTTCTGGAAGATGAGAGGAAGTGGGAGAGGTGTGATCGGTGAGGCGGAGGAAACCATGTGTGTGAATTTTGAAAGCATCCTCTGAGCCTCTCAGGCCAGGCTCGTCCTAAAAACCACAGAGAAGGTGTAGTGGATGTAGAGCTTAAGGGTGTATACGCTTTATATAGTTTATAGTGTCCTTGTTTTTCCAGTTTCAAGCTAATGCAACTGATCCTAGTTCATTCCCCAAAACGTCCATATAATGCTAACTATATCAGTGTTGTCTTGCACTGTTTCACAGCTCTGCCAAAATGACATCTCTTGACGTTTGACAATGTGAATGCAAATAGGAGTCCGTTACCCCTCAAGTTCCCTTTCCTCCTGGATTTAGCCACTTGAAAGTTCTCAGGTGAATCAAAAGTCATCATACAGTACATCCTATAAATAGGTTTAGAAATTGAGTGGCACAAGCAGTGCACTGTTAAAATGGCCACGCCACTATAACGCGTGTGGTTGTGGCCAAGAGTGGAGGCACTGGTGATCACAGTTCACTCTTCCCATTGCCGTGTTCTGTAATACCCGTGGCCTGCCATCAGAGAGAGCTGCAGCACGATTCAGTGATGGCAGTGCAAGACTTTGAACTGTGCTGTTTCCCACCAACACCAGATTATTCAGCCATTAGTGATCAGTTTGGTCTTCCCTTCCCTGACCTCTTGATTCTTTTCCCAGCTCTGTGCGAAACCCCAGCCGAGATCAGCAATTGGGCGAGGCCAGGATGGGCTCTGGCCTGTTCTCAGGTGCTGGTCATGTGGTGGCCACATTAGCATGGCCCGACCAGCAGTACAAAGTACAGGCCGACTGTAAAAACTGTGACGTTTGTGAGACTTGCAGTACACCTTGAGCTACAGAGATCAAGGAGAAATAGTCTTCCTGTCTGGCAGTTATACTGAAATCTCGGACTTGGGGAAATTGGGGAATGAAAAAAAAAACATTTAAAAATGTTTTCTTTCTGAAGTTGTTTCAGTGCAGGTACGGTAATTCTGGAGCAGACTCAAGTCTTATCCAGGAGATCCTCTCCTCCCAAGTTGAATCAAAATATTCCTGTTACTTGAGTACGGTGGTTGCTCCGTCTTTTTTTAAGATGGAAGGTAAGCCAGGATACCGCTCGTGTCCCCCTCAGGTGCAGTCGGCCGCCCTGGACGAGATGTTCCAGCAGACGGAGGACATCGCCTACCGCTACAACAGGGCTGCCCTGCTGCTGGAGGGGCTGTCCAAGATCCTGCAGGACCCGGCCGACATCGAGAACGTCAACAAGTGTGAGTCTCTTCTTGTCCTCCGCAGGGGCGTGGGCCCAGTTGTGCGGTATTGAACTGGCTGTGCAGGTCGATGCACGGGCGGGTCAGGATTCTGCTGTCCCTTTCAGAGCGATCTGCTCTGCAAACTCCTAGGATCCACAGCACCGCTGTTTTTCCATGGTTAAATAGGCTGTTTTGTTTTTGCTCCCCTGCTTGTGCACGTGGGGTTTGCAGGTGTCTGACTTTACTCTGCCTGTTGCGTTTGCAGACAAGGCCAGCGTGGAGCGCCGGATCTCCGCTCTCTGCTGCTGCACGGTAGCTCTGTACGAACAGCCCTGAGGGACCACCCACCTTGCCTGACAGGGGACCACTTCACATCTGGGCAGCGGCAACAGGGACAGCATTGAGGAAAAGGAATCCCAAGTTCTTTTGTAGCTGTTTCAGCACCTTTTAAGTTTGTTTTTAAAACTGAAGAGCAAATAGTGTTATTTCTTACTGCGATAGGGCCTTACTGCCCAAGCAGGAGAGATGAACAACCTGACTACCAAAGAAATGGAAGAGGGGGAGAAGTCCTGGAGGCGAAAGAAACCCCTTTTCTATGCTCCAGAAAGCAACTTCCACCATTCAGGAACTTCAGGGGCAAATTAGAGGACAAACAGATCAAAATTCAACATGATTTTAAATCATCCTGATGAAGTTCACTCACAACGGAGGACTTTACAACGTTCAACGTTTTATTACATTTCTTATTGTAACTGTTGCTATTGTTCTTCTTATTGCAATTATTTATTTGTTCAGGGGATTAAATCAGCTGTTTTCAAGGGATGGCAAGGAGGTCAACTTGCCTGTTTGACATCCCTGGATCTGAGAAAATCGACACAAGTCTGAACTGTTACTCCTGAAGGAAAAAAATAGAAAATTACTGACTTGGGAGTAAGGTGTGCACACACATGCTCACAAGGTGAGTGTGATGAGTTGCAGGAGAGTATGTAAATTTGTAATTAGTGTTTTTTTTTTTGTTACCAAGATGCACTTTATTATCGATGAAGAGGAGGAAATCAGTGGACAGTTGTCCTTAGTTGGACAGATTTGGTATTCAGCTGGGTTTTGGGGGAGTAGCAGGGGTGGAACAACAAACCCCTGAGCAACAGCCTCACCGCACGCAACTGTACAACACACAGGCTGACTTGAAAAACTGTTGTGGCATTTGTGGGACTTGAAATATTCCTTGAGTCGCCAAGATCAAGGATAAATACCAGTCTTCCCGACTGGCAGTTACGCTGAAATCCCTGATTTGGGAAAATGGGGAATTAAAGAAACACATTTTGAAAATGAACTTTTTTTTTTTCTTCCTGAAGTGGTTTCAGTGCAGGTACAGTAATTCTGGAGCGGGCTCAAGTCTTATCCTGGAGATCTTGCTCCCAATTTGAATCAAAATATTCATATTACTTGAGTACAGTAGTTGCTTTTTGTTTAAGATGGAAGATTTTTTTTTAATGTTAATACTGTAGTTTTTAATCTTTTGTTTTTCAAAGCAATTAAGTGTTTGCAACATGTAAATATTTGAATGTTGTGCATGTGACTTTCCTGGATGAGTGCGCGAGCTGTGTGAATTTGGAGACCGTGAGTGTTGCTATCGGATGCGCTGTCTTTTTCGTGGAAGAGCACAAACATTTCACAGATGAATGACTTTCACTGTTGCTGTTACTGCCATGGTGTTACTTGAACGCAGCTGCAGGCTGTGAGGAGAGGGGGGAGCTGGGCGTTGGATCCGGACCTTGACAAGGGCGATTTCCGAAATTCTTCCAAGGAGTAGGTCCGATGAGGGGCGATGTGCTTTCCAAACAAAGGAATGTTTGATTCTGAAACAATAAGCAGATGCTTGTGGCAGTATTACCATGACAGTACCCGGGAGGTATGCACCAGGGCCTGTTCAGAAATAAATTCCTCTGTAAGGAATGTACAGATGGGCGTTAAAAGGCAGTTGCCTGGAGAACAGCTTTCTCTCCCCTGGAAGTGTGAATGTTGCCTGGTGTTACACTGTAACACTGCAGCACAACTTACAGTAATGGCAGGTTCTTCCCTTACTGTACTTTTTACAACGTCTCTGTTTCTGTAATTGACCTGATCTACAAACCAGCCCTTCCCCCAGCTTGAGATCACCCCAAACCACAAAAGGCCTTGTCTATAAAATTAATACATTGTTAGAAACTCGCGTCCTCTGTACAGTTTTAGCACAATCCCATGCTTATCATAATATCATTTGTAGTGTAGATAACCTAGCCACACTTTAAGATATACTGAATAAGGTACTGTAAGATGGGCCAAGTGGCCTCCTCGTTTATAACCGTCCTGGTCTCCCAGCTCACGCACACCGAGGCATTAAACACCTGGAAGATTTAGTGTAAAAGCAGGCAGTACCAAGCACGGCTTCCATCCCTGATGTGATGAACAAACCACGTTTTCACACCTTGGTACTGTGTGCTCGAGACTTTTTATTCCATAGAGTTTCCCAAGCGGTCACTCTTGAAAGTGCAAATGTTTTAAATGATTATCCGTTTACACCCGAGGCATTTCTTTGCTCTGTTGTGAACCTCAAAACTGCAGCCTTTGGCAATTAAAAAGAAAGCCTGGAACCCTGCGTTTAAAAATGTGTTTTTACTCTCTTCAATCGGGGAGCCGGTTTGAAACTGCAAGCCCTCCTGGCGTGTCCTCTCGAACCCACTGGCCGACTTGTCGGTTCTGTCTGGATGGTGTTTTTGATTTGTCTTTCAAGCTCTCGGTGCTTTATCCTTCCGGGCCTTAAGCATTGCTCCACTGCTGCCTGCATTTCCAATTTCTGATCGCCCGTGTATCAAAATCTACTTCAATACGTTTAAAGGGACTTCCTGGCATTTTCAAGGCACGAAGCACAGGAAAAAAGAAAACGGACCTCAAGACTGCAGATAACGTGGCTGAAGGTCGCTAATGGTTGCATTGTGACTTGATGCAAAAATTAGCCTTGTTGGCTTTTAATTTTTCGCCTTAAAGAATTAAAAAGCCTTGATGGGCTTATACTCTTCTATGAATGTAAGGCTCTCATTTTGTGTGCAGATAGGCCTCTGACGATGTGATGTTACCCCAAAAAATAACCTGCTGTCCCTATGGCATAGTGTATTTATCACTTGAATTGAGAATAAACCCCCTCCACATGCAGAGTGGGAATTTTATGACTGGGGCAGAGGCAGGGAGTGGATTTAATTGGCTCTGGCCCTGTAGGCCCACTGCTGGTCCATGTCTCAAATCTGTGTGGAGGGTGTCCTGCAGTGCAGACATGGAGATTTCCATGCCATGTTCTTCTTGAAGAATTTGAATATCGGCAGTAGTGATCAATTTGCCTCCGCATATCCAGAGTAGGTCAAGACCTTGGCAAGGATAATCGTCAGTAATGGATGGACTTGGCTATTACCTTGACCTGTGTATATGAAATCTTTCTGCCACCAGATGATATCTAATATCTTCAGTGTTTGATTCTCCTACTTACCACAGCGGGAGTACAATATACATTTTTGTAAGAATGCTTCAAGGGAGAATTTAAATCACTTTTATTTTTCCTACTGTGAATGTGCAATCTGCTGTGGCTCTAGTCATTTATTCAGGTGTGTGGAGTTTTTTTTTAATTCTCTCCCAATAAAATTGAAAGATTAGTAATTGCTTTAGGCATAGTTAAACCAGATAGTTCAAGCTGGTAGCTGCGTTAGCATGCGTAGGCCGCAGAGGAACAAGTAATAGGTTTATTCCATGCTGAAAACAGAAGAAAGAAAACATGTTTCGGGCGTGGAGCCTTCTTCAGGTGTGAGCTGAAGAAGGCTCCATGGCCGAAACGTTGTTTCTTCTCTTTTCAGCATGGAATAAACCTATTACTTGTTCCATTATACCAGATATGTAATTATATTGCTATATAAACTGCTGATATAATGTCATCGCTGATATAGCCAGAATCAAAACAAGAATCTGAGCCTCTTGACCTGGAAGATTATTTTTTTTTTAATCTGACTATTTAAATTAGCTTCTTTTGTTCTTCTTTTTTGGGAAACTCAAAAATGATCTCTCGGCACTTGAGTAAAATGGTATCGGAAAGGGCGATTGAGACTTATTTAGTTTCCAGTGTTTGTCCTGTTCAGTTGCTACCTCTCCTGCTTGTCATTCCCATGTTTCTCATCCGTACTTCCGAGAAGGTAGCGATTTCCATCTCTTTTGAAGCTTAAGTAGACGAAGGCACGGGCCGCCTTGCATCAATACAGAACACCCGCTCACTTCCGGACTTCCTCAGGATACCCCATTTCCTGAAGAGCGTTGCACAAATGAACCCAGGTTCTACCCTGATTTGTGAAAGTTACGTGCGATCAGTCCGACTCCAGTGCAGCACAGAACGAGCTGGAGTCAGGTGACAAAGCCATTAGAAACAACCCGAGACTCCTGTGCGCAAATGATGTCTGTGTAGAATGGCCTGTATGTGCATTTGATTTACATTTAATAAACCAAAACATCACGATAAATGCTCGCTATTGTTATTTCTACGTTTTCCCCGTTTTAATAGTTCACATGTATAACCAAATAAATTGCTTGATTTGCAAGGTTTGTAACAAGAAACAAAAATAATTTGCGTGAGTCTTCATCCAAAAGTACTCCCAGCATTGTTTCGGTTTGTGGATTGCTTTGCATCCTTCACGAAAACAATATTTTTGAAAGAACAGAATACACTAAAGATGCAATTACCGACATTTTAATTACAGACAACATCTTACAAAGAAGAAATTAAGCTAACATTTTAAAAAATCATGCATAATTAAGCATACAATTAATTTCCTGCAGTTATTTTTGACATCGACTGTCTCTTTCTGCAAGACCAACTTAAAAACAATTGTGAAAAGGTATATCCAGAGAGGATTGTATACATATCACCAAAGCTATCCAGTTCTAAAAGGCACTTAGAACGTAATTGGTTTATTATTTGTTTGGATGCTACTTTTTATCCAGTGGTTTATGGTAACCAAGATTACAATTACCCGTTTTTACCAGCACATTTTGGCACCTGCTTATAAAGCTGGTCTCGTACAGTCTCGTCATATAGGAAGTTAACCCAAAGACCAGTCACCATCAGTGTCTGGAGAGACAAATTACCACATTTCATTAAATACTAGAGGTTAAATGGTCGCTTTCGAAATTGCTATCGTACAACCAATTCGAAAATGAGGTCATTCTTAACACCCCCTTCCCTGTCACCCCCTACCTTATCAAGTCTAATGATTTGTTTACAAAAAGAAATGATAATTTACCATCTCCTACATACATTGCATTCTGCACGCAGCTGGAAGTAAACAAGCAAAAAAATCAATGGTTGGCTTAAGCGTTTAGCTATAACGGTTCGCAAAGGAATTCGTGGCAAAGTTCGTGGCAACAGTTTGTTACTGTAGTTCTCCCCGACAATACACCATTGTTTTGGCGTATGAATAATGGGTTTATCCATTCTGTTTGTTTGGCGAAAAAGTTACTAACGCTGATCTTAAACTACTGTTGTTACTTAGAAACGCCTGTTTTTCAGGCCCTGTCTGTGATCGACACGGGCCTGAGCCAATGACTCGCCTGCTTGCGCTCAAGATGGCGAACCGAGTGACGTCGGTGTAGCCGCCTCCCAGAATCGTGGAATTCACTGTTACGGTTTGTTTAAACGTGATGTAATCTGAATATCGGTGCTTCCACCCATTGTCGGTCAAGGTTTGAAGGTGGTACAGGCACACACGAACGCTGCGGGACAGTTTCCCCCCCCCCCCAAAACAACAGCCAGGACTTCTCCTGCAGCGACAATAAACTCGGGATTGATTATTCTTCGACTATCTGAGGTAAAAAAAAAAGCGGAATTCGTGTTCTCTAATGGATGATATGACTCAAAACCGTTAAAGGCAACTCGGGAAATAGTCTTGCCTCCCCGCTAAGTTTTTTTTATGTGGTAGTAATTTTAACACTCCGAGAAGATGAAGGGTTGTGAATGTCTATCTTTGCGGCTTTAGTTTGTCTACCTTTTATACGTTTGTAAGAGGCGGATTGCTAAATCAATGCATTAACATAAGGACGTACTGTAGGTCATAACGGCACTTCTCCTTGTGCAATAAAAAGTGTTCCGCATTTTGCAGACTTCTCTCTTCCCGTTGTCCGGCAGTGTACAGGAGCTAACATTATGAGTACCGATATATCTGTCAGCTTGATGAACGTGTTTAATTTTTGATGTCAAAGATTAAAGCTCGTTTTCTAATTTGTAAACTTTTTTTCAGGGTTTTTGTACTAATCTGGCAAATGACATCATTTTTTTTCTGTCCTGTGCTATAAATAAGTTACACCATAATAAGTCTGTGTATTGTATATTTCTGTGAAATTATTATTTTTACGGGACGTTATGCCACATGAACTCTTCCTACAGCCTGTAGACTACATAGCGGTAGGAACAAGCCTACGTCATTCTGGTGAAGAACAGGGAATATAGCTGTCAGGTGATTTGCAGGTAAAGCAGGAAGAAAGTGACTTTACGCTCTCTCGACAGAGAATCCAGTTTTAGAGATTCTGCAGTGCTCACAAAAGTTATTAAAACAAAGATAGATCTGTACGTCTGAGAAAATAATTTCAGCTGATTTTAATTGTGGCAGCAAGTCTCGAATTTATGCAAAACAGAAAGCTTGTACACTATTAATAAAGCTGGATATTAATTTGCCTTTGACTCTCAGGCCTTTGGAGAGGTATCAGCCATGTCCCGAGAGAAGGAGGCTGTTGACCGAGCGAGGACTGCGTTCCTCACCGGGAGGTCACGACCTCTAGAGTTCAGAGTTCGTCAGCTGAAGGCACTGCAGCGGTTCATCACTGAGCGAGAGAAAGAGATCGCAGCTGCGCTTAAGAAAGACCTCAACAAGGTGAACCAAGATTGCTGCAGGCTGCATCTGCGGGTCGCAGACCTCCGGTTACTGGGAGTTACTGCTCCACTTTCTCCCTGTCTCTAGTATTGTTCACAGGTTGTCTCAGGCTGGTGTTTCCCAATTGTGGTGCTGGAATATCCCTGTCTGTTCAGGTTTGCATTCCAGCTGAACTTTGACAGTTTGTCTCATCAAGCTTTTCAGTTGAACTGTTTGTTATTAAAACTGTTTCAGTTTGCAAATCGTTGAACGAGATTAGATATTAGCATGAAACCTGCTGCGTTTCAGTTCTCCTTTCACTAAGGCCTGTGTCAGTGATACAGCTGAATTTAACCAGAAGGCCCATGCAGCACTGAGAACACTTGTTTGACAGCCCTTTGTCTCACAAGTTGTGGAGGTGATAGAGTTAGAGATCATCAAGAGTGGTTTAGAAAGCTATAGGGGAGCAACAGTTTGAAAGAAAGTTGAAACTACAGTGTGATGGAGTGCAGAAAAGAGTGAAATTCAAGTGGCTTTCATTAAGAATGAAAATCACAAGGGTACTCTCGAGCCTAGATTGGAAAATGCCGCCTTAGACTAGATGAAAAGGTTTGTATCCTTCCCTGCAAAAAAAGTAAAAATAATTGTGGTTTCACTGTATGTTTATGCAGAGTGCATTGGGATGTCCTATTATTCGGTCATTGAGCTATGTCTGAAATATTCCTTAAGTTCTCTTTTCACAGCAGTATAGTTATTGATCCTATTTGAAGAGCCTCAAAAGGCTTTGTGCTCTATTAATCTTATCTAGCCAGCTTGATATGTGTTGCACTGTTGCTTTTAGAGCTCCAGGTATATGTAAGACAAAAGAGCATGTGTACGCCTGCCGGTGAAAACGCTGTGGTCTGTGCAGAGCCAGTTTGCTACCCCCCTGTACGAGCTGATGGGCCTGGAGGCAGAGATCGCTCTGACCCTGGAGAGGCTGGCGGAGTGGGCAGCCCCCCGGCCAGTGGAGAAGACCCTCCTCACGCTGTCCGACCAGGTCTACATCCAGCCTGAGCCCCTGGGGGTGGTGCTGGTCATCGGGGCCTGGAACTACCCCATGGCCGTCACTATCCAGCCCCTCATCGGGGCCATCGCCGCCGGTAAGCAGAGAACGCCGCCCTCGTTGCTGTGGCTGTGTAGAGTAGGGCTGTGAGGTTGCATCTACACTGGGGAAAGAAATACTGGTTCCTGTATTTGTTTTATCCTTAGGTTGGTGTACTGACTTCGTTTTTTCATGTTTTTGTGCAAAGGTTTGCTAATAAATGTTAAAAGCAAAATACAGGTTGGGGTTCCCTGTTCATGCATAGCCTGACCATTTAACAAACTTTGGTTCAGCAGTTTCGACAAGGCCAGTTCAAATTTGATAATGAAGGCATTCAATTAGATCGTCTACTAAACCTGCAGTAAAGTAGAATAACAAAAGCCGCCTGGGGCAAATGGGATAGGAGGGCATCCTCGTACACACTGTGTAGCATTTCTGCAAGGGCGGGCATGGACTGAAGGGAGGGCAGGAGGCATTGAGTCATGCTTGTTTGCTCTTTTGTACCTTAGCGTTTGTTTGCAGGTGTAGTTCTGGGCTGGCTGGCTCAGCACCCCAGCGGTGTATTCCATCTCTTTCTAAAAGAACCCCGACAACTGAAACAAATGTGTTTTTTGAAGCTCCTGTACGGACATTTAACAATAGTTTTATAGCACTAAAGTTATCAATTTTAAAACCATTTTGTACTCTTAGGGTCCACAAATTATTCTTCAGTTTAAATTACCTGACTAGTTCTACATGACCTGTATGAAATGAAAAAGTGGCCTCTTCCTCATGCAGACCTGAAGGAAATGGAACAATTTAGTGCCGATCCAACGTGTTAATAAGGTATTACACACTGTTTTGATTTGTTCATTTTGCTTTACTTTCAAGGGCTGTGAAGGTGACAAAGGAGGTGAGGTCAGAGGTGAGGTGTCACTGCGTTGTGCAGAGCACTGCATTGACACAACCGGGTGAAAATAATCACTGGGGAGTGAGTTTGCACACAATTTGCTGTAAATGAATTATGAAAGGTTAGGTCACACAGTACATTACATAAATGCGCAGAATGTTGCTTTGTTAATGTGCCTTTATTAAATCTGTGTATTATTTGCAGAATGTGTGCAAGTGATTAGCTAAATGATATGCACTGTATGCAGGAGCTGGGGTGCACGGCTTTTTTAGATGAAAGAAATCCTTGATTTGTGGTTTGTGAAGTTTGCGTCTGTATTTATACTCCCCCCCCCGCCAGAACCCTTTGTTTTCTTTTTATTCGTATGATATGTAAATGTGGAATTGAAATGAGATAGCTTAACGAGATCAGAATCTTGTAGGCAGGCTTGTTTTACGGCCTTTGGCATACTTTTGGTTTACTATCCCGAACCAAAAGCCGTTACATGAACTTTGTGCGATAGGGTAAAGCAGCGAACAACAGATCCAGTTTGTGCTTTCTGCTCTCATTGTTACGCTTTGTTATGCATTGTTGAGAGTTGCAAAGGTTGAGAAAATGAGAGGCACTGGGAGGTCTAAAATCCCTTAATCCTTTTAAACAGGACTTGTTAGGATAGGGTGTCCATGCAGTTTCCTGAATTTCTTTAACTGTTGAAATACTGCAGCCTTCACTGTTTTACTGTCTGGAAGGCCTCTCACCCAGTGCTCTTATCATTGCTTTTAGAGCTACAAGGTTACTGTCATTCACTTGGGGAGAGAGGATCAAGCCCCGGCATATTGCCTGATAAAAGGGGCAGATTGGAAGTAATGCTGTGTCATTCTCTTAAAGAGACTGTCACTCTTTTTCCACTAGATTTACTAGTTTAAACAAAATGAGCTGTGTAGAGCAGAGGAGATCAGGTCTGCAAAATAAGACCATGTCTACATAGTTAACATTGCGGTTCAAGTGGATTACATAATGTAATATTCACTAAAGAGGTCCTACACTAAACTATATATAAAGTAGTTCTTATTTAAAGTTGGACACACTCGAGGGCAAAGAGTTCAGATTTCAGGGGGAGTTAATGACCAGTAAGAAGGGTTGAATCCAGAAGTGTTTTTTCCAAATCTGGCAAACTATTAGCTGAAACACTCAGAGCAGAACATTTGAGGACGCTTTTCCACTTCCTTTACGTGGTAGAGGGTTGAGCTGATGTTGAATCAATCTTTTCACTTCCTTTTTTTACTATCTAGTGGCAAGAAGTAAGTTAGGGGCTCCTGATATTTTTTCTTGCAGTCACTTAGGTTCAGATGAGGTGCTACACAAAATGGCAGTTATCTGAATTGTTTGTTTTCAGCAAGCATAGACTCAGCCTGTTGTAATTCCTTTCCTCCCCACCTAGAGCTGGTGTTTTGTTCACTATGGCTGCTGTCGCATCATCCAGGTGGGGCTGCACACTGGTGGTGGTGGAGGGGATCCCCATTACCTGTAAAGCATTTTGTGTGGAGTGTCCAGAAAAGTACTATATAAGTGTAAGGAATTATTATCATTACCACTTATTAGTCATATAAAAGGTGCGAACTGTATCAAAACGTGGTTAAGTTTGCTCTTACTAAAACAGTTTTGTCCTTAGAAGGAGAAGGAAGGAAGGAATGAAGTCGGTGTCAAACTGTAATGTTTGGTGACAGGACAGCGCAACCTGGTGGCTGGATTTTAAAACTGCGCCGTGGATGCTTGCACTTTCTCTCGTTTCAAACCCTGGCTTTTCCTTTCCTTCAGGCAATGCAGCTGTGTTGAAGCCGTCGGAGGTGAGCACGCACACTGCAAAGATGATGGAGGATCTGCTCCCTCTGTACCTTGACAAGGTAAATTCTCCCCCCCTCTATGTTGCAGGTGTGTTCTGTGCTTCTCTCTTTTGTTTGTGTTTAATGCTGTTGACTGTTGATACCTGCATAAATGCAATACAGCATTGCTTTGCTCTGCTTCTGTTAGCTCTGAAGCATGGATTTGCCATAGTGCTTTTTGTCCCGGCCATTATATATATTACTCCAAATACACCAGTACAATACAAATACACTAAAAGCTGACTTTGGGTCTGTGATACTCATGCAAAGCCGGGTGGAGGCAACTAAAGCACGCTCACTGCAGGCAACAGTCATTCATCCTGCTATGATTTGTCCCGAAGGCAAAACGTAATGAGAAGCGGCTCACAATCTGTCGTGCAAAGCGTATTTTTACTGTAGGGCAGGGCCAGCACCAGGTGCAATTGCTCATCAAAGAGCAGCCTCAAGACCCCCAGGCCTGGCTGACATAGCCCCTCCCACCAGCCTCACCGCGCCGCCACGCTGGAGCAGTGAAGAGAGCTGGTGCACCCTCTCCACCAGCTGTGACTGAATTTCTTCATATTTTCCCATTTTTTCTGTATATGTAACTATGTAACTAAAAAATAACTACAGTAGGTCTCTGTAAATAATCGCAGCCCTGAGTCTGGGGTTCTGTCTGTGTGGAGTTTGTATGTTCTCCCCATGTTTGCGTAGGATTCCTCTAGGTACTCTGGTTTCCAAAGACATGCTGGTAGGCTTAAGGGGAGCTGCAGTCCCAATTTCTCAAAATGGTTATTAAATCTCAGTAGCAGAATAAATTCATTGACAATCTAGAAACAATTTACCCATTTCGAATTTGCTGTATTGTGTGGCTTCTAAATATATCCGTCTTTCTGTATTGTCAGTGGCTCTGTTCATGTGATGATCTTTTGTGCAGCGTGTGCTGTGAGGTCTGTGCCTGTGATGCTGTCTCCCAGGAGATGTACCCAGTGGTGACCGGGGGAGTCCCAGAGACCCAGGAGCTCCTGAGGCAGCGCTTCGACCACATCTTCTACACCGGGAACAGCACTGTGGGAAAGCTGGTGATGGAGGCCGCCGCCCGCCACCTCACCCCCGTCACCCTGGAGCTGGGCGGGAAGAGTCCCTGCTACATCGACAAGGCCTGCGACCTGTCTGTCGCCTGCCGGTCAGTTAGACCTCGAATGCCACATGATGGGGCCGTCACTAACTCAGACAGAACGATAACTCCGGGCCCAGGGAGTGCAGTGATGTCCGAGTTGGTGACCGGGCAGGGTAACAGCTAGGGTCAGCTTGAATGTGCCTGCTGAACATTTCTCTCATTCTCTTCTCTAAAAATCAGTGACTTTCACTTACCAAAGGTCATAGAAAGGAGAGCGTTACTTAAACCCAACATCATGCACATTTATTCAGTTTAGCTACTAGAACTAGTGTTTTCAGACTTGCATTTGTTCTCTTAAAGCTGTGATCTTCCTGTTATTTCAGACACCTTGTATTCACATTGTATTATGTCTGATCTTCTCCTTTTCACTCTTCTTGCTTCCTCCCTGTAGCCGGATCACCTGGGGAAAGTTTGTGAACTGTGGTCAGACCTGCATCGCTCCTGACTACATCTTGTGTGACCCCAGCATACAGGACCGAGTGGTGGAGGAGATCAAGAAATCACTCAAGGTGCTTAGCTCTTTTTGTTTTTAAGGGGATGCTGCAAAATAAGCTGTTCTAGGATTGTTGGTCTTGGTACTTTTTATCAGCATAGTAGTGAAAAAGAGGTCGCAGAACCTTTTTATGGTCTGGACAATACCGCAGTAGCAGTCTGCAACACTATTTGGAAGTGGAGCTTTAAAAAACAAACCCTCTTGTTTTAATTGAAGAGCTGTAGGGCCAACAGACATGAAAAGAAGGGGATGATGGTGGAATGAATGAAAACTGGGTTTGATAAAGTCAGAAGAATGATGGAAGGGCTGTGGAAGGTGATGTAAAGTTTTTGTGCCATTTCCAGGAATTCTACGGCGACGACCCCAAGACCTCACAAGATTACGGACGCATCATCAACCAGCGCCATTTCAAAAGAATTCTGTCTCTGCTGGAGGGCTGCACTGTGGTGCTGGGCGGAGAGCACGATGAGTCACAGTGCTACATTGGTAAGAATCTGTTTTGAAGGGAGGTTTACTGGGTTGTGGGTGCTACTATGAGACACTCCTTTACCCAAAGTGAATTACAGGCACCATGCAGTGAGTTATGACTTGTCAACTAATGTTGCAATCCCAGTAGGCCCCTGAATATTGCATGTGGTTTTAGTGAGCATCATGGAGTAGTTATCTTTCCACACTCATTACTGGAAGTCTGTGGATTTAAATCCTGAACAGGGCTTGCTGTTGTACCATCAAATAAGATGCTTCTGCAAGAGTGCTCCGGGAAAATACCCATCATTTTAAATGCGTGAAAAGTCATTTTGGGTACAATTGTCAACCAAATAAATTTGCAATGATTGGTATTCTGTAGGACAGAGCACAAAGAAGACATGTCCAGGGTCAGTGACTGAGTCAGAGCTTCAGCCACTTCTTGACTTGTGCAACATCTGGAGTCGCAGGTGTTGTGCCCTGAGCTTGTTCAGTGACGGTGACTCTTTCTCTCCCACACCTCCTGAGCCCCCACTGTCCTGAAGGATGTGACGCCCCAGTCCAAAGTCATGCAGGAGGAGATCTTTGGGCCGGTCCTGCCCATCCTGAGCGCGGGCAGCGTGGACGAGGCCATCCGCTTCATCAACGAGCGAGAGAAGCCACTGGCGCTGTACGTCTTCTCTTTGGACAACAAGGTAACACACGGTGACATTGAACACTGTTCAGTCAGGCAGGATGAGGAAGTTGCTATATGCTTGCCGCTCACCATGAGATGAGCTCTGTCACATTCGACACACTGTGTACATACAATACGAGCCGTGTTAAACAGAAGCCAGGGACGCTGGCTGAGCCAGGTCACCACGGTGTTCTCCTTCAGTGTTTTCGACTGGGGACATTCCAGTGAATTGAGGGGTAGCTCAGAAAAAAAAAAACACAAGCAACCTCTTGATTCTCAGCTTCTGAGTGAAATGCAGTTTTTATTGGAAATGGATAAAAATTAAGGTTCCTCACAAAACTTTTGCCCCACTTTTAAACTGTGTGCCGGCTGATATCCGCTGCCCGAGGCCCAGGGCCTGAAATCGGCACGCGCCTCCTGTTCCACACGGCCCGTGAGAAACCGCCGCGGCCCTGTCCTCGTGTCCTCCCCCGTCCCAGCGGCTCTCGCTTCCCGTTCCAGCTGATCAAGAAGGTGATCGCCGAGACGTCCAGCGGAGGGGTGACGGCCAACGACTGTCTGCTGCACTACTCCGTCAGCGCTCTGCCGTTCGGGGGAGTGGGTAAGCGCATTCCTGGGGAAAGAAAGTGTTTACTCAGTGGCTGTTGTCAATTAATACGTTACGCTTATATAGTGCTTTTCTGGACACTCCACTCATAGTGCTTTCCAGGTAATGGGGATCCCCTCCAGCACCACCAGTGTGCAGCCCCACCTGGATGATGCACCAGTCCTCTCCCCACACACCAGCTCTCAGTGGGGAGGAGAGCAGAGTGATGAAGCCAGTTCAGAGATGGGGATTATTAGGAGGCCATGATTGGCAAAGGCCAATGGGAAATTTGACCAGGACACCAGCGTTACACCCCTTCTCTTTTCGAGAAACACCCTGGGATTTTTAATGACCACAGAGAGTCGGGACCTCGGTTTTACATCTCATCCGAAAGACGGCGCCTTTTTACAGTATAGTGTCCCTCTCGCTATACTGGGGCATTAGGACTCACACAGACAGCAGTGTGAGCGCCCCCTGCTGGCCCCTCTAACACCTCTTCCAGCAGCAACCTTAGCTTTCCCAGGAGGTCTCCCATCCAGGTACTGACAGGCTCACACCTGCTGAGCTTCAGTGGGCTGCCAGTTGTGAGTTGCACTGTGATATAGCTTCTGACAAAATGTGCTCGGGGTGTTCAGCACCTCTAACCCAGCAATATTCGTGCGTCTCTTTAACCCCAACTGCAGAGTCTGAACAACAAGTTAGAACGTTGAGAGATACCAAGGTGTCCATTTCCTGTGGGTTGGAGTGTTTGCCTTGTGCCCACTATATTTGACCTATATCTATCAATAGAAGCTCATTTTTCTATCCCATGATAAACTGCCTGCACCCCACTATCGGTCCTGCGGCAGGGAGGACAGCAAAGCTAACGCCGAGTCCGTCTCTTCCTCCAGGCAACAGCGGCATGGGCTGCTACCACGGCAAGCACAGCTTCGACCAGCTGAGCCACCTCCGCGCCTGCCTGATCAAGTCCCTGTCCATGGAGGGCATGAACAAACTGCGCTACCCGCCTCACTCTGCCGACAAGGTCCGCTGGGCTCGGATCCTGATCCTGAAACGGATCAACCTGGGCTGGCTGGGCCGGCTTGGGCTCGTGGCTGTCCTGGCGGTTCTGGCGGCTTTTCTGGTCCAGGTAACGGAATCGGATGTTCCCTCACCCCGTATGGCTCTTGATGGATAGTGTTTTTAAAAAGCGGCATGGTGGCACATTGGTTGGCACTACTGCCTCGCGGTACTGGGGCCCTGGGTTCAGTTGCTGTCTGTGTGGAGTTTGTACGTTCTCCCCATGCTCATGTGGGTTTCCTCCCACACCCCAGAAACATACTGGTACAGTAAGTTACTTGGCTTCTGGGAAAAATGGCCCTGGTGTGGGTGTGCGTCTGGGTGTGCCCCTGCGATGGGCTGGCGTCTCGTCTGGGGTGTACCCTCTCTTGCGCCCGCTGCCTTCTGGGATAGGCTCTGACTCCCCCCTGACCCTGAATTGGAATAATTGGTTGGACAGATGGATAACTTTTACAGTAAACTGTGAAAGCCAATATTGGATAGTCAGTGCTTCTTTACAATTGGCCTCAGTTCTCAGTTCCAAAAATACAACTTTGTTTTACAGAGTCGTGAACTACCTTCACTCTGGGATAAATATGTTTTCAAAAATTGCATTCCTCTATATTTAATAACATGTAATTGTTAAGATGCTTCCCTGCTAGAAAGAAGTTGGAGACGCTATAGTTGAGCATAACCAAGTAATACACAGAAGGCTCTTGTCTTTGAAGGAGAGATTAATGAGGCAGTTTCCTGTTAGGTGGACTGTGAAGGTCTCTCATTGAAGGCATGTTGGCTCCAGGCCTCAGTAATTACAGATTAGGCTAGCAACTGATCCTACTGCATGATGGACAGAGCACTAAGGAACTAAGAGCACTGGAACAGACGAATGGAAAAGGTTTTATTGTATTTTTGTCCTTGGTATCTCTTGGTGGAAAGAAACTTTGCACTTTGGTCAGGAGTTAATCTGACTTTCTTCCCTGAAAGAGGTTAAAGTGCTCCCACAAGCATGGGTCAGCAAACCTGAAGCCTTTATGAATAACTTAGTTTCCATTTAAGTTGTGGTACTGTTAGTAACATGCATTCATACACAGTCAATCATACTGTAGGACTGAGAGCCATTCTTCTGTCTTAGCAGACATTTATTTCTTAAACTACGGTGGACCATTTGTACCAAATCCAGGATTGAAATCCATTATTGTGCTCAGGAGTTTCTCTACTCCTTCCACCCACTGACCACAAATAATTAGGTCATTAAGTACAGAACAGTATCACTACAACATTGTAGAGTTGTGCACTCTCCTTTATTATGCCTTCGATTCTGTGCCAGGCACCCCACAACACAGCGGGTCAGGTGGAAGAGTGAGAAATTGCTTCACCAGTTGAATTTAGGGAGAATTTTAGGAACTTCAGATTGTGCAGGGCCAGAGTGGAGTTTACATTCCTACTCTTACCAAGAGCAACATGGGTCTTTAAAGACCATGTTTCCGGGACCTGTTTAACTTTTCACACAATGTTCAGCACCACCTACAGAACAGTATCCCTGGTGAACAAGCTGGGGCGTCTTATAGAAATTCTGTTCCTGAAAGAGAAGTGCTTTTTCTGCACCAGCAGAGTTTTCCTTAGAGGACTCCCATCCCAGTACTCTCCCAGCCCTGAGATCAGTGGTAGCTTTCCTGCTCAGACACATATCTAACAAGCAGGAGTTTAAGTGAAATATCATGGGAATCGGGGTGAGGTGTTTGCATGATTCCAAGAAATAATTACTGTATTATTTTGTATACAGCTTTTGCTGTATTTTTCTAAGTGTTGCTTTGCTCATGTGACCTAACATGACTAACGTGTTTGGTTTAATTCTATTTCTTATTTTAGTTTTAACTATGTGAGTTGAAAGATAAATGCTGTGAGTAACTTAACAAACCTGATTTTGTCTTTCCTGACAATGTTCTACATTGTTTGTGAAATGTATCCTTCGAATGCTCCACTAGGCCAGTGTGTTCACTGATCAGTGACCCTCTCTTCTGAAATACCTGCACTGAGTATAATTATATATCCCCACTTCACTGCCCTGCTTTGTTCTTTTACCCTTTTTATACTAATGGATCTTCCTTCCAGTGTCTGACAGACTATTGTTAGTCAATTTGGAAAATTGCCACTTCTCTGCATTTCAGTTATTCTGCATTTTCTCAGATCATGCCATCAGCCCCATTCCCCATCCCCCTTCCACTCCCCTGTTTCAAAATGGAAAAACCATGAACCCTAGTAGATAATAATAGTTAATTATTAATAATTCTAATGAATGGCTTCCTTTACAAAAG